CTCCCTCCCCCTTTCTTAGTTTACCTGTACCTTAGGCCCAGCAGGTGCTTGCTTAGTAATACAGGAGGATTCAGTATAGAACTCTGGCCTCTCAGCTGGAGCTCTAGAGAGCCAAATTCTGGTTTTGCCCTCTGCCTGGGCAGTGGCGTGTCCGTGGGCTGGCATCTGTCAGGGTCCCAGTCGTTTGAAAGATCCAAATGTCAAAAGGAGGGCCAGGAGAGATGCCCTTTCTGCCTCCTATTTGGCCCCCTGTTTCTCAGGAGGCCAGGGAGGCGCTGGGCCGCACCTCTGGTCTTCAGCTCGGGCGGCACACTAACTGTCCTTGGAGCAGACCTGGAGCCGGGAGCGCCTTTCTGTCTTCAGACAAATTGCTAAGGTCCTCCTTTCCCCTGCTTCCCTCCCTTTGGTGGGGAGTTTAGATGACCTCAACTGTTAACCTTTATTCTGTCTGCTCTTCAAACTCAACCTGGCACATAAAAATCAAGCCGCTGCAATTTTGAAATGGTCAGTCTCATATTTGAGAACCATGTCTTTGCTGATCCTTTGTTTAACATTCTGCAGTCCCAGGGACGCAGCGGGCCCAGCGGCGGGGCACCTGGTCCTGCCCCTGCCCACACAGGCTCTCCCTGCCTCACCAAGCCTCTCGAGCCCACCTTTGTTTTTAAGCCAACTTGCCTCTCTCTCCCCTCTAGTAAAGCGCTCCTAGCTACCACCTCCCCCTTTACTTCCACCTGAGTTCTCCCCCTTTCGGTGTGGTCTCTCCTCCCCACCCCACCCCACCCCCAAAGGTAAGAGAAACACACATGTGCCCCATCTTCCTTCTGTTGTGTGGAAGCTCCTCTCTCTCTTCCCTGAATGAAGGGAAGAGGGACGAGAGAGCCGAGTTCTGGAATGCACACCTTTCCTGTTGCTCTCTTTCCCTGTTACTTAACTGTCCATATTTTGCCTGCTGTTAGTTAGTTTGGACTTCTTCCTTTTTCCATCGATGTACAAGTAAATGTTTTCTGGGTTCAGAAATGACCCGCCTTCTCATGTCCTTTCCCCACAGCCTTTTCAGAAATTTGAATCTCTCTCTTCTCTGAATATTCACAGAAATAAAAAACATAATTAGGAAGAAGAAAAAGAAGCATTGGAAACCTATCTTGGTTTCCCCACATTTCATATGGAAGTGATTCTAATTTTTGTTGTTATTTATTAAGTTGGTGGATGTCAAACTCAGTGAAACTTAAAAAGCTATAAATGATTCGATAGAAATACAACTGGCAGTCTGAAGGTTGGGGGAAAAAGACACTTACGTGTGGTGATAACAGGTGGTCTGGGAAATGCTGAGACCCCAGACATTGTGTGGGTTTATAAAGTCCTCTGGATGGCACCTCAAGATCTTGGTTCCTAGGGAGGGGTTCTTTAATTTACTCAGTTTTAATTTCCCTCATTTAGGAAGTCAAAACACTGACCTCATTTCAAAACACCCACAGCCCCCTAGGATCGCCCTCCCAAGGTTTAGGCCCTGGATGTGTATGTCCAAAGTGTGGGGGTGGAGAGCTGTGTCGCCAGAAGGAAGCCTTGTGCTATTTTTAAATTGATGCAACACACTGAAACATATCATACACATATCACACGAATGACACACACGCTGCATTGTAACATAGCATGTGTCATACATACATTCTCTGTCACTCACACATACTTGCTCTTCTTGTCTGGCTTTAGAAAAGGAAGGCAGCCAGGAAGCAGAGCCCAATGATTTGAGTTCAAAAGGCTGTTAAAGTTTAAAAACCAAGTGTCCCTCTCGTTCTCAGCCTGGCTTTGAGACATGTGGGAGGGCTTCAAAGCCCTGGTGCCCCTCTTTTAGAGCTCAGGCTTGCAGTTGGTCCCCAAATGTTTACCAGCATGAAGATGCCTAGCTTACAGGAAGTGGGAAATGGGTGTGGGGGGTGAGGGTGGGTGGGTGGGTAGGGAGTGGGGAGAAGAGGGTGGGGGGTGTTCTCTTGATGTGGTTAGTCTGTCATTGACCTTGTTTGGGTATAGCAGGAGTTGAATTAGAAAATGAAAACACGTTTCATCTTGAGCACATTTTATCCCATTTTTTACTTTCCTTAGGAAAAAAAGATTATTTTTTCCTCCAAGTGAAGTCAGATCTCCAGATTTTATACTCAATCTCCTTTTATTCTGCAACAGTCTTCTCCTACGGCCATCTGGCCCCGCATCGCCATTCCCAACAGGGCTGGCCAGGACCGGTAGCTGACACTGAGTGAAAAGGGCTGGTTGAGCCGTTGGGGTGATGCTGTCAAAGAGAACAGATAGGTGGGGGTCCTGAAAGCCCAGCTATTTGGACCATTCATGATTTGGTGCTATTAGGAGCACTCTTAACGAGAGGACTCTGCCTGAGAAATGCTGATTAATAAAGGTGACTGAGGTGGGGGGGTTTCCTCTGGTGTTCTGACAGGGAGGGGAGTAATACAGTGACTGAAAAGGCACCAAATCATTACTTGAAAACAAACATTTTGAGACTTGAGACTCCAGACAGTGGCAATCTCAGAGAGCTCTGTCTGCATAGCTAGCCACAGCAGTACAGCACCTCCCCGCTTTAGTCAGCATTCTGAGTGTGGTGCTTGGGCCTTCTAGAAGGGTGAGTAAAGTTCAGAAGGTCACCCCCTCTCCTTCCCCTTTACCGTTTTTGTGCTGGACAATACCTAAATTTGACTACATGAACAGACTTTTCCTTATTATGGGGCAGGCTTCCTTTCCTTTATTCCTGCTTCCTTTTTTGCATCTTTCATTTTAGTTTATATTAATGCCTATCCTTGAGTGTTATAATTGCAAGTAAAAAATGATTTGATGTGGCAGGGGGAGGGCTTGTATTATTTTAGACAAGAAGCGAACACTTGAAGAATTTTATAATCCAACACTCTGTGTCTCAAAGTTTACTTTCCTTAAGGTTCCACTCGTGGCCTTCTCCCGCTCAGCCCGAGCACCTGGAACTAATTTTAGGGTTGCCTGGCTAAGCCCCACACTGGTATTTGAAGTTTGCATCCTCCCTAGACTCAAGCCCATTTCACCACCTCTGAAGGTGAGTGCAGGCTGATATTAATTAACAGTGAGTTGATTCACTGGCATCTTCCAGTCATTAAAGTAAATATTTGGCTTAAAATAGCCTCTTCCCACCTCAAATATCCAACTTTTTGCCTATTCCCCTACTCCTTCATGGTTGAATCACCAGTGCTTGCATGGAATATGTGGCCTAAAAACTAAGTTTGATTCTAAAAGGGAAGTGAGATGCTCTTTAACATCTGCCGGCAAGACTGTTTAAACAGCAGTGCGGCCTTCAGTATGACTACATTGTTTTTCTGTCCATTGTGGTGCTGACTCAGCATCAGTTAGTAAATCCTCTCAAGAAGCCTGGATTTCTCTTGTTTAATTATCATCTTGAAGCTTTCTGAGAATTCTCGGGAACTGTTCATTCAGTTTTATACATCTGCCAACTGAAAGTCCTGTTTCCTCTTGGTGTTAGCGTCCCCTCTGGCATTCTATGCAATAACAGGTCACCAGGCTGTAAGCAGAGAGTGTGTTACTTATGTCCCCTAGTGGGAATTTAATTGTTCTGTACTGCAGAGATTGTGGAAGGACCTTAGACACAAAAAACATTTCCTGGCACATACTCTTTTGCCTCCCACCCATCTCCTCCCCAAAATTCTAGAAAAGCATCCTGAGAAAGAGAAATTTTAAAGATAAACAGACATGCTTTTATGATTGAGTTGGGGTTTTGTTTTGCTTGGTTTTGTTTCTTCCTGTAAACAAATACTCAGATGTCCACTTCATCGGATGACTAAGTTGGTATTATTATGTTGGGACTGGGTGTGTGTATGTGGGTGTGTGTGCGTGTGTTGGGACGTGGGTGTGTATGCACACGTGTATTCAAAATGTTAGAAAAGACATTGCAGCCTATGGTGGAAGGAGAGATGATGTTAAAAACAACCACCTATGTGAGGCAAGCAGGAAAAGTGGGAGACTTGTGCTGTGATCTAAACAGGGATTGCAGAGGGGTGCCTGCTGTAAATGGACCCTTTGCATCATTGTTTCTCTGAATTAGAGGATTCCTTGCTGAAGGCACAAGACCATTGAAGGAAGTAAAGCATCTGGTTTGTTTTGTAATGAGAAGCAGGAATGCAAGGTCTACGCTCTTAATAATAAACAAACAGGACATTGTATGCCATCATCACAGGATGTCCTTCCTTCAACAAAGGACTGACTGGGGCTGGAGGAAAAGCCGGACAGGGCTCAGAATGACAGGGCTCAGAGCGAGCCCCACTAATTACTGCCTCTGTCTGCCCTCCACTTGGAGTGACCAGTTCAGCGTTCCCTTTAACTGGAAAGCGATTAATGCACTACACACTTACACACTTCTCGGAAGTCTGGCTGTGGGTTTGAGGGGGGAAGAAAAGGCAAAGAAATGTTAAGCCGTAGGATGATAACTTTTTCCTATTTCCCTATTTACTAAATAGTTGAAAGAGGGAAGTTAGTCTTTCCAAATCTGAACACATGTTAGCAGGAGAAATGGAAGCTTACAGGTCTGTGCGTGTGTGTGTGCGTGTGTGTGTTTGTGTGTGAGAGAGAGAAAACGTGTATTTCATAGGCGATAGCCTGAGGACTAGAGGGCTACATTTTGTTACATTAGATGCAAAAATAATTTCACTTGGTTTTTTGAGGTAAGTTTTGTGTAGTCTGTAACAGTGGATTTGAGCCGAGGAACTACAAGAATTTTAGGTAATTTTTAGGTTTCCCTTAATTTAAGGAATGTGCGCCCCCTGAAAAAGCCGCAGCAGGAAGGAGGGTGGTCTGGAGTATTTAGAATACAATACAGCCCCAGTCAACGTTGAGGTTAAGTGCTTTCAAAGGGAAGCAGGAAGACTTAAAGTGAACGTTGAAATTCACACGCGAAGAGAGGAAGCTGTCGGAGGCTCGGGATCGGGGAAAGCACTGGGCTGGGCTAGGCTGCGCTGGTCCAGGTGAGGCCACGCCCCCACTTCAGGCGCTGGTGTTGAGTCAATCAGACAAATGGGAAATCTGCAGCTGGGAGGGGAGAGCAGCCGCCGCGCTGGTTAACACAGACTGAAAGTGCTGCCGTGACACTCGGCCCTCCAGTGCTGCGGAGAGGCAGAGCAGCGCGCAGCACCTGTCCGCCGCAGCCGCCCAGAGCCGGGACGCGGGCGCCGAGCGGCCGTGGATCAGCAGAGAACCGCCGAGGCGCGCGTCAGTCCCCAGCCCGCGAGGGGCCGCGGAGGAAATGTGGACTGTGTAGAGAGATGAGCCATATTTATCTCCGATGTTGGATATTTGCTTGGAAAAACGTGTGGGTACGACCTTGGTAAGGAACTTGATCTTCTTGGTAAATCTGAAATTGATCTGAAAACTGAAAACTTTTTTTTTTTTTTTTGGCTAACGTAGTCGCAGTAGAAACCAGAAAGGCTTCTGCTTTAAGGCACTTAGAACTGTCAAACATTTTTAAGACTTTTTCCTTATGAATCATTAACCCTTTCAGTTCTAGGCATAATTGTCAATTCACTGAAATTTCAGTGGTGGCTTCTGCCCGCTCCCATCAAACAAAGTAATTATCATGGGCTGTTGTAATTTTTAAGTTTTGTTTTATTTTAACATTTATTTGGCATCACGACTGTACATATTGCAACTAAATAAAAATAAGCAGAGTATTTAAATCGTAACTGAGGGAAAACAACCTCGCTACTTTTTTTTTAAAGCATCATGTTTAAGGAAGAGCTAAAAGAATGTGGAAGCCACCCTGAAGGACTTACACGGTGTTGTTATGTGTACAGTGTAAGGGGGACACGTTCGGACATGGAGATGATACCCACGTTCCTCTTTCTGTCAAGCACGTTTATATGGGAAAATGTCGCAGAAGTTGTTTACCTTCTTTCCTCGCTGGAAAATGCTTTATCTGCCGGTGAGGGGAGACTTTCGGGAAGATCTTTACCCACTTACAAGTGGAAGCAGAGCGAGTCCTCTGAGTCTTCTCTATTTGTTATAACTTTAGTTACAGTAAACTGTAGCATATCCGTGACTTCTGGGAATTTATACACTTTCAGATTTAAATGGAAAGTGCTATTTGTAGCTGAGGGCTCCTGAAGGAATTCTCTTTCGGGAATTCTGTTGAACAGTTTAATGTTTTGTTTTTGCCTTTTCAATTTGGCGTGAGATGCCCACAAGTCAAAAGACGCTGTGGAGCGATTTGCTCCCTCACCCATTTTTCCTCCTCTTTTCCGTGGTCCGAACAATTTTGAGAGCTGCACCTCGATGATGCTGGCAGGATGCAATCTTTTCCAGACTTGAGAGGATGAAAGAGAGCATGCAGCAAAGGGTTGGGGGGGGGGGGCGGGAGGAGGGGGGGGCAAGTTGTTTTGAAAGTTGTTTTGCATCGGGAGCTGGTGGGAAAGTTCAGTCTTCCCCATTTGGAAAAGGCAGGCTGGGTTCCGCTCCCGCACCACACGCGCTTTCCATTTTTAGCTTCATTCACAGGCAGACAGAGCTCCTTCCTCTTCCTCTCCTTGTTTGTGACACTTTTCTGAGGCAGCTTTTCCACAGCACTGAGGGTCTGGCAGCCATGACCCCAGGCGTTCTAGGACGCAGGACTGAGCGCCCACAACATTTTTCAGCCGTGAGAGGTAAAGCCAGGAATTGTTCAGAGGTGATTCTTTTTTTTTTTAACCCAATCAAGTTGCCACATTCTTCTTCTTCTTTTTTTTTTTTTAACTTCTAGTAGCGTTCTAAAACCCTGCCTCTTCAAGGCAATCTTCTTTATACTGCTTTTTGGCTCTTATTCAACTGTACCAAGCACTCCACATCTGCTTTTAAACTCTTCAGACTACTGTATTAGTCATAGCCTCTCAGAGGGAGCCACAGGACAATGGGGATTAAAGGCCTTGCCCTTCTCTTCCAGGCTGCCCCAAAGTGTAGCTCCAGCGCTGTGAGGTTTCACGGGTTGGCAGAGGGGACCGAGGGGACCATGAAAATGGACATGGAAGACGTGGATATGACACTGTGGACAGAGGCTGAGTTTGAAGAGAAGTGTACATACATTGTGAATGATCACCCCTGGGATTCTGGAGCTGACGGAGGGACTTCGGTTCAGGCAGAGGCATCCTTACCCAGGAATCTGATTTTCAAATATGCCGCAAACAGCAAAGAGGTAAGTCACTGGTTTACTGCTGAGGAAGATGGGCCTCTGGTGCCAAGTCTGTCTACCTGCCCTTGAGGCCTCCTATATCCGTGAGGATCTGTGAGTACCAGTCAATAATTGATCGCTTGCTTCATATCTTTCATTGCTTTCTCTTTCCCCAAGTCATTCCGGGCCCACTTCCTCAGCCCTCCACTGTCCCACAGTAATTAGCAAACAGTTAAACCTTTTGGCAAGCTGACATGTCTTGGCAAAGCCCAGCTGCAGCACGGGGTGGACGGAATTGTCAGCGAGCTTGGAGAAAGCCGCTGGCCACTCGGCCACCCGGCCCTAGTCCCCCAGGTAGTGTGCAGTAGCTTTGGAGGGAGAACATTCTTTTTTAGAAAAGAGTTTTCATGTTTCTTTTGTCTCCTTTGGGTCATTAGATGGCTTTATTCTTTTTAACGAGCCAGCTTTATTGGCTGGGTTTCTAAAATTATTCTCAAAACCCTGAGGTGTTTATGAACTGAAGTGATGGCATAAACCAAGGAGAGGGTCATGTAAAAGTGTCCTCTGTCCGGATGACTTCAGAGCTCACCACTGTTTATCTGAGGCAGCTCCTTGGCTCTGGCCGGGCTGGCAGGCTGATTCCTACTGGCCTCTGAAGTGGGTACACTCTTTGTTGTTTCAAAGGGGCCGAAAACCCCAACTTGGAATGAGCAAAGGATTTGTGTTTACCCTTTTATATAACGATTATAGTTAGGCGTGATGTTTAGCTGTGAAATAACTTGCAGAACCACCTCTTGTTTTGAGCGTTCAGCTACCGCAGTTGCTCTCACTAGTGTACTGGGCTGAGTTGTAGGAATCGAGAGCTCAACAGACTTCCCACCACCAGCATGACCACAAGCCACTGTCAATTCTATTACCGCCTTCAGAGAGCAGTGAAAAGGGGATCCTTTGCTGTAGGGACCCATAATTTGATACTGGGACTATTCACGATAGCCATGGCAAATTACTCTCTTCCTTTTCGGAGGAACAGCATTTGAGGGATCCAGGGAGCCTGTTTGGGAAATACTTTGTCTCTTTCCTGTTTGTGTCTGAGTCCAGTGTTTTTGGTAAGGGGGAGACACAGTTGTCTAAAATTAAATAGAGCAGCTCTACTTTGAATTTCACTAAAAAGCAACCCTTTTCCCCTCTACTGGGAGAATGGAGACAGATTTTATAAAAAGCAAAATTTAAATTGTAGCTGTATGTGAACATTACTAAAAATGTAACCCCAGAGGTCAGCCTTAATTATACCTCTTTCTTCAAATAACACTCTTCTCAATAGAAAGTCTCTTAATATGTGGCCCCTGGAATCAATGCAGGATTTGTCTGGGTATTTAAGGTTTGGCTGTGGCTTTAAAGGTGCAGTATGTTTTTTCCCCGTATCAGATTCGACCAAACATTGATCAATTCCTACCTTCATTTGTGCTGTATTGGCCTGTGCAGCCCATTAAGACTGAAATAAATCTCTATTCCATGGGTCATCTTTGCCTTTTAATTCTATAGTGCTCTTATCCTCATTTCATCACAGAGCTTAAGTCTTTCCACTTTTGTCATTCAACTTAAAATCATACAGATAAATTTAGTAATGCCCTTAAACCATGTAGTCCAAGGTTGAGAAAGGTAGTCACTTACTCAAGGTATAAAGTTAAAACCAGAGCCAAGACTTAGAGAGAGCAAAGTCCTTCTGACTTCCCCAGCCAGTGAGTGCTTCTTGATTATGCTACACTGGCCCCTCTTGGTGTCACTGTGGTTTTATTTATAGTCTGAACCTATTTCAGACCGATCCTTCATTAAACTTGTTTAGTTCTTTTTTCTCTGAACATATAACTCCCTATTTCAGTATGCTCAGCACACACAAAAACATGCAGGGCCTGTATTCCTTAAGAGGGTCCTTCAAAACTAAACTAAATAAGAGATCAGGGTCTCTCACTCTATTTTCCTGTATTTTATTTAACTGAAACACTTGACTAAAATCGTACATCTTCAGTTCCTAATCTTAAAAGCAACCAGGAAACCAACTCAAATGTATTGTAATAACTGTCTGAGGCTTACTCTGGAATTCATACCTGTTTTTCTGCTTCTCCCTTCCTTTCCAAACTTTGGGAGAAAACCGCTCCCTTGAGGCAGTGAAGAGGGCTGTGGACGTGGGTACTCGCCCAGAGACTTTCAGGGTTAATGAGCTGTTTACATTATCATTGTTCAGTTAGTCCCACAAGCTGTGGAAATAGGCAAAAAAAAAAAAAAGCTTTTGTACATGTAGTTTTCCTTTGACTGATTTACCTTGCCCTTCTTTAAATGTTTTCATTTAAGTAGCAGAAGATGTTACACTCTGTGCTGTTGTGCTGACATGCTGGGGGTTTTTTGAAGAACAGGACCATTTTTCATTATGAATTTGTGCAATGTGTCAGCACCTTTTTTTTTTCTTTTGGTTTAAAAACAAAACATACAAACCGTATTTCTGATCTTGACCCTCATTTTTAGATTTGGTTTAGAATCATTCTGCACCTTTAATGAGACTGTTCTTACTTCCTATTTCCAGAACTCAAACCAAATATAGACATACTATTCAAAACTTTTAAAACTTTTTTAACTGATGCATTATTCTTTTAGGGGGATTTTCCCCTTGTCCTCCTGAAATAATTTTCTATGAATATTTGAATACAGAAAGATCCATTTAAGCATTTGTATTTGAGAAGCGGTACCCTGACCTGAAGTGGCTTGCATTCTAGAAGTGCTGTGACTCTGAGCCTGTGACCCCCCAGTGTCGTGCGGTGATAAACATCAGACGGATGAGGGGACTCGCTCAGGGTCCACTTTGATTGAAGTCTATTATTAACTCAAGCCATCTGTAAAAAGTATCTTGCCACAATGTGCAATTCCCTTTTCTTCCTACTCCCTTTTATTTGGGAGACAACGTACTGAGGCATTACCACATTTCCTTTAATACAGAGATAATTAAGGAGGAAACCTTCCAAAAACATCTCCTTTCACTCCACCCCTTTTTTAAAAATGGGGTGCATTACAGGCTGAAGTCTTGGTCCATGACAGAGTTCTAGTCATCTCAGTGCAGATAATCCTTATAATTGTAATCGAATGAGGCATTTTATGGGATGCAGGGGGGCAGGGGAGAGGGGGGAGATCACTAGTAATTAAAATGATATTAATGTAATCTGGGGTGAGGGTGCTCAATAATCACATGTAGACCTAAATGATGTTTCTGGTTAAAACCCACTACTGTGTGTATGTCTAAATACTCCCTACAGGAGGAAATTGCTTTAATAGCCAACAAAGAACTTACATTCTTTTTGCTATTAGACTTTAATTTCACACGCCCTCCAATCCATCCTAAATTGGGAAATCTTCATTTTGTCTAGAAGCCACAGACCTCAGGGTGTGTTCTGTAAATGAGACCGCTGACAGAGACAGGTCTGCTCCTGTGGTGGAGGGGTCGGCTCTGCATAGAACCATGACACTAAAGAGCTTCTGGGGGCAAGAAGTGTTGAGGCCAGTGTTCTCTCGCTGTTAGGTTTATAGAAGGCACACAGCAGCCTGTCCCCAGCAGAAATGCTTTAGGACCCTGGTCAGTTCCAGTGAAGTTTCCTCCTGAGCTAGGTGAACACATTCTTAGTCTTTTCAGTGCTGTGAAATCTGGAGCACACACTAGGTTCCTCTGTATCATGAGCTTAGTCCAAGGATAGATTGTTGTTGGCTAAGATTCATGTCTAGCTGGATCTTTCTAGGGCCAGAGGGAGAACTGTGACCTTCCATTTCCCATTAAAAAAAACTCTGGTTCCTGCTCCCCTTCACAGCTACCTGGCTGAGCACCGTAACCTTAGAGTTGTGGCTCTTAATGTCCTCTTTGAATAAAGTCTCAGACATGAACTTGAGATGAAGCTGTTTATTGTACATTAGAGTACTGGACTGGGAATGGATAGAGATGACATTAGATACATAATTCCTTCCCACCTAAAAATTCTGTGATTTTGTGTCTATTTATCCATATGTATGAGTTTGTATGTATCCTATAGCTTTGTGTATAAGACATTAAAATATTAAGGTTCTGTCCCACTTCTAAAGATAATCTAATATTGAGGTTCTTTCATTTGTTTGGGGCTTAAGGATTTTCATTGATCTCTCTCACCACACTCCTTTCTAGTTCTGTCCTACCTGCTCTATTGCATTTGTAAGATTATAGATGAGATGGGTTACTTCCAATAGTGCCTTAGAGCTTCCCCAGTGATTTGCCCATATTGCTGAAATAGGGGTTGGGTGGCCTGTGTCTTCTACAAATTTCTAGTTGATCTCTTTTGGACATAAGATAATGTTGTGTGTTTTTCTGATATAAGATTGGTAGCTGAAAACCAAGAGACCCGTGGTTAAAAGAATGGCAATCGGAAGGAAAACCCTGACCTCAATGTAATGCTACTTGTTGGCAATCAGGCTCTGACTCCTAAGACACTGTCTGCAGGAGACTGTAATTTAAAACAAAGTTGATGAACCAGTTGAGTGCCTTTCCTAAAATTACTGCTTTAAAGTGGATATGTTGAAAATATCAACTGCTAATTATTGGCTCACCAACAAATGGCATTATTTGTTTTTCCTGTTTGTCATTTTAATATCATGGAATAATCATGCAAAGATGAATGCCAAATGATTTGCGTGCCAGAAAGGTCAATTCCCTGAATTTTTCAAATTAGTTAGGTTCAGCAGCATGTCATAAACAATGAGCCTCTGAACAGGTACGTGCACTTCAGCTTCAGTATGTATTTTTATCTGGGGACGGTTCTGAGGTGCTCCTGTCCCCAGTAGCTGTACTGCCAACAAATACCAATAATGCCAAACTGTTATTGAAAGGGCAGATAGATGTAAATGAAGGCAGAGGAAGAGGATGAAATGAACATCTGCTTTTTTCACCTGTCTGCCAGAAATTCATAAAAGACCAAAAATAGCACTCCAGTTCACCAACCTTGTTTCAACTTGTGTTAGGTATAGAAAAAAAAATTTTTCTGTCTTTCCAGTCTGGGTATGTTCCATTGGCTTGTATGTTGAATAATAAATCTTTTTTTAATTATTTGCTCATGAGTAATGTATATGAGAAAAACTAGTGTACTCCTACCTTATAGGTATGTTTATTCTATATGCATTTAAACAGGTTTGAATTCTTGACATAACTTAATGAAGTGTCAGTGCATATCATAACCCAAATTGTATATTCCACTGTGAACATTTATCGATTTATATATTTGGGCCTACCATTTCGGATACACAGTTACACGGGAACCATCAGATAAAAACTGGAAAGAAATATTGTCTTTACCTCCTCTCTTGGTCCACTTGGTGTGGTATTTAGTAACTAATTTGTAGGCTCTTTTGGATGAGAAGAAAATAAAAATGGAAAATTGAGTGAATAAAAACCAAAACAAAGCTGCAACTGCAAAGTATAAAGGACTACTTTGTGGAGGAGTTTTTTCAATAGTGATGAATTGCTTCCTTATTCGTGGTTGGTGATTTTTTTTTCACCCCCATCTTAAAGAAATTTACGATCAAGGAGGAACTGGCATAGTTGACATGTTTCTTAAGTAAGGCCCTACAAAGTCAGAATTCGTGGTACATCTAGTCTGAGAAGGTCATTTCCTCAGATCTTAGAACCCACAGGTCTCAGAACCCACAACTGTCCTCGGTATAAATTCCATTTCAAAGGAGGACTTCTGACCACTGTTGAGTAGAACATGCTAGAGAAGAACAAAGTTACTTGAAAGATCTGTCCTCATAAAGAGAACTTACGAGCTATGAAAAAAAAACTCATCTGGGTTGAAAAAAATAGAATGGTGTTTGGTTTTTGGTTCCTTAGGCCTTTGTGGAACAACCAAAGAGCATTATTTTGGTTTCTGAGGTTAAAACTATTTTATTCCCCTCAAGTACACTGTGTTTATGGTTTGAGGGAGAAGGAGAAATAGGAAACTAGGAGGAGGCTGAAACAGTCTAACCTCGTCCACCTAATTCTGCAGTATCTGACTCCTTCTTCTAAAATAGAACGGTCACCCTCTATTCTAGCATAGCACCCTTGTTCTTCTAGCATAAAAAGTAATAATAAATATAAAGGACCCTCAGTCAGTGGAGAATAATCCTCTAGACTATTTTAATGCTTGGTTGAGTATTTGGTAATGATCTGGGAGTTTTAAAATGGTCTTCCCCTAAGGTGAAGCTCATTGTTAATTACATAGGCACCATATCATAATTTCATCATTGTTAGTTGCATTACCACTTGACAAATCAATTCATTGAAATAAAAGATTGGTTGATCTTTTACAGTTGAAGTAATTGTTTCATATGTTTTGGTTTAGGTGATTGGAGTTGTGAGTAAAGAATACATACCAAAGGGAACACGTTTTGGACCTCTAATAGGTGAAATCTACACAAATGATACAGTTCCCAAGAATGCCAACAGGAAATATTTTTGGCGGGTAAGTATGGAAAATTTTTCCAGATTCATTAAGAAAAAAATTAAGCTAGAATTGCTGGGTCACTTCCTTTTGCAACTTGTACTGGGCCTCACCACAAATATTCAGGGTCCCCACGGACACAGCGTATTCTAAGCAAGTGTGATGAAACCAGCTAGATGTTTGGCCCTGGAAACACAACGTGTATGTGGTTAGGGATGGAGATATGGACTATATGTGAATCTCAATTTTTGCAATTCATTGAGCTTTGTGATGAAAGGAAACAGTTTGTTACTTGCCTCAAGGGTAGGCTCATTTGCATTCTTTGCAAGGAAGTAGTAATGAGTCACCAAGCCTTAGATTTCACCTCATCTTGATTTTTAGCTGAGTTAACATTAATTGAATGGAAGAATAATCATAAATGAAATACCTTGAAAATAAGTGACACTAAAGAAGGATAGGTAGAAGATAGCACTGGGGAATGGAGATGGACCTCAGGACTAATCCTGTTTAAATTTGCACCATAAAACAGCTGGATTTGACAGTATATAGATTACATTCATAACATCAGGAAAATGCTTACAATCATGCAAGATGATAAACTTTCCTATAATATCCAGTCAAAAAGTCTGGCCAATACAATTTCCTTTGGAATATCAGGGCTAGAGAAGACCTCAAAGGTGAACTAATTAGATGGAATCCTTAAGTAAAAGACCCTAAATTAGAAGTGAACAGAGGGAAAAAATCAAACTGCTTTCCATGTTCCCAAAACTTTCTGTGGGATATGTCATTTCCTCAATTAGATAATAAAAATACACTCATAAAATTTAAAAGTAATTTTTTATACATACTTGCATAAAAAGTACACAGCTATTAGGGAATCATTATTTGAGTTCTTTTCAGAAACAGCTGCATGGTAACAACAAAAGTTGGATAATACTTACTTTGGGCAGTATTAACCTAGAACACTTACACCTTTTGAACAAGTATCTTGATAAAAGATATATTTGGGGATCATTCAGAAGCTGTTCCTAAGAAAGAAGTTTTTTCTTTAAGCCAAGAAGGTTTGTGTTTTTAGAAATGTGTAATTCTATTTTCCAAGCAGAAGCGAGCTCCGAGAATTGTGTGCTTAACAATTTTTATTTAATAACTTTCTCAGGCTTAAAATATATGACTTAAAACAGGCAAAATGGAAGTGAGTGCATTTTTGCCTTTATTGCCATACAATCTTCTCAGAAGGGAGCACCATAGAGGTGTGTATTCTTGCAGTCACAGGTCTGAATTAAGACAATCTCGTATAAATCTCATTAATGCCTGGTCATTTTGACAAGGGCAAGAAATACCTAAGAACCACCCATCTCTGTCCCAGTTCCCTGGTTCATTAAAGATTCACTATAGGTAACTGAAATGCCATCCTTGGGAGGATTTATTTGAATTAGTCTTTTACATGCGAAAGATATTGTAGGAGATAACTTCCCACATGTTGTTAAAAGCATCCTGATTTTGCTGGCAGGAATATGAACATCTGTTGTGAGTAAAGAAAAAGTTTCATGCAAATTACACAGTCAAAGAAGAGAAGGGATGTTCAAGTTGAGAAACCAGTGACATTTCTTGTAACTGTACTATGAGTCAGCACGTTTTTAATCTTCTTGATAATATATGGAAATGTAGTGAGGTGATAGGGAGCAGTGTTCATTTGACGTATGCATTATTTTATTTTCTTGTGGGTGTGTGAGAGAGAGAGAGTGTGTGTGACTTCATGGCATCGATATTTCTGTTTTTAAATGAGGATACAGTAAATCATAGCCTGTGGAAGGCTGACTGGAATCAACATACCCGTAGCTTTAGAAAGCAGTTTCCGCCCAACGAAGAGTGCAAGAGCGATGGAACCCCATGTTCCTGGAAGTTTGCACATCAGAGTAAACAAACTTGAAAACCCCTCTTCATAGCAAATTCGCCCAGCCTTGTTCCATTTTCTCTTAACAAAACACACCGCAAAAGCTCTCACAAGCTGCTTTGATGAAGCCACATGTATTTCCCCCTTCACAATTTACAGGAAGTTACTCTTAAAAGAAAGTGATTCTGGTGTTTACTGCCTGTGTTAAAGGGACAGAGTTCCTTTTTGTCTCTGATAACGTTTGAGTGAAATACAGAATCAATTTATAGTCTAGCAAAGTGTGTGACTAAGAACAAAGCAATAACCTGCTCTCTGGTTAGAGCGAAATTTATTCCATGAGCCGTGCCCTTCTCCGTGGAGACTGCAAGTTGCAGATTACCAGGTACTGATAGTATATGTAGAAAGAAATTCCTTAAGTCTGAAGAAAAGGTGGTACATCTCAAAAAGAGTGGGAGAGAAAAACTTCCTGTGGAAGGGTAAGAAGATTGTTTATGAAGTAGTTTCAGGAAGAATGTAAATTTTAATTTTTCCTGTTCTTACCTCTGCCTTTTCCCCCCCGAGTGGACTGAGTGCATCTGTTAACCAGAAGTCGTATTACTCTGAGGCAGACTTTGAATTCTTCATTATGTGTTGCCTTTAAAGAACGACATAGTGTCTTCCTGTTCTTTTTCTGGAAACACATGCCTATGGCTCTGAGAGCAGTGTTTCAGCCAACCTCTTCCCAGATACGAGGGTTCCCTCTCCCCTCCTTTGGCAAGGCTGAACGTGTTTATCAAGAGGAAAAGTGACTCCTCAGTAGACTGTCAAATTCTGGCTTCTGTCCCGGTGTTCACTTTGTTATGGCAGGTGAAGTTCACCTTTGCCCCACCCAGTGCTTCCACCAAAAGGCAAGGTTCCAAGTATTCATATGAACAAGTGTTACTTCTGGACTCAGAGGCTTGGGGGTGGAGGATGTTTGCATAGTTTAAGCCTTGGGCGGGGGTGTAGGAAATGGCAAGTACAGAGGCCATAGAAAAAGTTGAGAGACTCGGTTTGACGTATTCAGTCGGGTTGGTCTTCTACCCAGTGACTCAAAGCATTAAAAGTCAGCATAATCAGAACTCAAGTTAGTAAGCATCACACGTTTGCCATTCGCTGCAGTAGCAAAAGAAGAACTCTGGTGGTTTGATTGGTCTGAGGCAGCTAGCTGTTTAAATGAAATTTTGTGTTTCATTCTTCTATTATTTTTCCCACATGAAAAGATGATAAAAAACTGAAATGGAAAGGTAACTGACAAACTGTGCCTTACCTGTTTCCGCCCTTATTTCTGCTGATTCAAGACTACTCTGGCCAGACTGATTTGATTCTTTTTCTAACTAGGTGATAGGGAGCCAGAAATCACACAGGATGCTTGCTGTGTGGAGGTGCCGGGGGCTGATTTTCTTCAACCTGTCTGTCTTCTCTTTTGGACAGATCTATTCCCGAGGGGAGCTTCACCACTTCATCGATGGCTTTAATGAGGAGAAGAGCAACTGGATGCGCTATGTGAATCCGGCGCACTCTGCCCGGGAGCAAAGCCTGGCTGCGTGTCAGAACGGGATGAACATCTACTTCTATACCATTAAGCCCATTCCTGCCAACCAGGAGCTTCTTGTGTGGTATTGTCGGGACTTTGCAGAGAGGCTTCACTACCCTTATCCTGGAGAGCTGACAGTGATGAATCCCAGTAAGTGGATTATAGAACAAAAAAATTATAAATGCCAGTCATGTCGGTTCTGCCCCTATGAGCTAATAACATGTTGTTTAATTATATGGCTTCATTTGTTGGGCCAAGTAGGTGGCTTAAACTAGGCACTGAGAAAAAGGGGGAAAATTTTAGTGCCTGTTTCCTAGCATAGAACATGATGATTTAAAAAATATTAAGAGCTACTTTGAGTGTTTAATTCAGAAAGTGAAGAAGAAATATATGTCCAATTCTAATCTACCCAAAAGGGGGCAGGTAGGAGTGAAATAGAGATTGGTCCTGACACTGAATCTGCGAGGTACAGCCCCCCTTATCTGTGGTGTTTGTCGGTGCTTCAAATGTGCACTGACATCTTGTAGAGATGTGCACTTGGTCATTAAGTTACCGTCTGATGTGGAACGTAGGAGACTTGTTCTAGAAACACTCACAGCTATAATTTTTCATACAGTATTCTAAATGAATGACAAGATTTTATATATCTCAGCTTCCTTTATCACCTGATCAGTTATCATAGTAGCCACTTATCACTTTATCTTAACAAATTCTCAATTCCATAAGTTTACAGGCTTTTTTTTTAATTTGGTTAAAGTTGCTGTCGTCACCTCTCAGCAAAGAGCTGCTTCATTTCAGTCACTCTCAGGTCACCTCTACGAATGACTTAAGAATTACTATAAAATTCCAACCTGTGGCAACTATGGTTGTGTGTTCTCTGTTACACTACTAAATAATAAAGCATTTTTAAATTAAATGTTTAAAGTAAAATTTTAAACCTTTGGGTTTAAAAGTTTCAGCACTTAAATGCTGACATTTTTGTAACTTTTGGTTTTGAAATCATTTCAAACTTAAGGAGAAGTTGCAAGAATAGTACAAAAAATTCCCAGATACCCTTTACTCAGATTCGTTAATTGGTTTTCCCATTTTCTTTATCTGAAGGCTAAATTGTTTTAGTTAACACTTTTGTTTTTGAGACTTTTGGAATGAATGTTAATAATAATGTAAGTTAGAATTTTGACTTCAACTGGAGGGCCAGTTAACAAACCAGTAATTTATCTTAGGGCTAATTCATCTCTATAGCTATTTAGTGTTCATCTCACAGTATCTGCCTGATCTATACTTGTAGTGTTCTGAGAAAATGAAGGCTATAAAAAATTAAGGATCTCCCCCGCATGATCACCTTTCAGATTTGTATGTGTGGTCTGCACACACATGCATGGAGACACAGGTGTACATGGCATACCCATGAGCCTCATGAGGAAGGCTTAGCATGTTTGGAAATAAACTGGCTTCCAACATGAGCAGGAGGGGTGTAACCAGGTCCTGGCCAATCTTTTCCCTCATCTCTCTGCACTGCTCCCAAGAATCTGTCATGTCCCTGGTGCCAAGCACCCCAAGAGCCATTCAGCTATTTCACCACCTGTGTGTGCCGAGCCCGGTGCTCAGGGCCTGGTGGTAAAAGACAACTGAGATTCCAGCAGGCATCTCAGGAGGAGATACGCCGCTTCTCCCAACCTCCTCGGCATGGCAGGTCCCCTGCTTCTGAGGGTCTCCTGACAGTCCTTGGGCTTCTTCATTCGTGGATTTGGAGAAAGACTCTGAATTCTTTTTTTAAACAGTAACTCCGTTTGAGGGGATGCACCCCAGTGACTGTGCACCAACCACAAAAAAGCTTCTTTGTGTATATCCCTTAGCCTCTGCCAATCAAAGAAAGATTTTAATGGTCCTGCATTTTTATTGAGCTTCGCACAATGAAAAGCTTTGCACAGTGTTTTAAGATTCAAGCGCTTATCCTTTGTGTTCAGAAGCAACATCTAGTATACTATGAAATGACACCTTTCTTCCCTCAAGTGTCCCTTTTTGTTTATGCAGATTTTTTTTTCTAAATTTCCAAGTACCCTTTCATTGTCCAGTAATCATAGTAAAGAATGAGGGTTAACAATACCAGTCACATTAAGCCAAGACTCCTACTGCCGATTGTGAAACCAGTTGTCTTAGGTGTGGTAACTGATGATTGAGACTCTGATCAGGAAAATTTCCACTATTTCATCAGGCCTAACAGGTAGATTGTGTCAGCAAGTGAGTTGTGTTGGGTTTCCATGCTTCAAGCACAGGAAAGATCTGTACCAGCATCTCCGTGAGGGCCTTAGTGGCGGTGATGGTTCTGCCGGTAGACTGTTGAGAGATTAGAAGCAAACTGAGGCAGAGAAAAATAAGTAACCAGAAATCACAAATGGGCATTTTTTAAAAACAAAAGGACTCGGAATTATTAACTCCTACCCCTCCCAAGGTTTTTTTGGTATTTTTTTTCTATCAACCTAACTAACCCATCTAGAAAACAGTTGACCAAATTATAGACTTCTAAATGTTAATCTGCTTTCTCAGTTTCAGTTGAAAACAGACTTTGTTTTGCCTACTGCAGAACTTCTAGGTTCTTTCTTGTAGTCGTGAGGGTTCTTATTATAGATCGAAAATGTGAGTCGGCATAATTAAGCCACTCAGAGCCTTCAGAAGCAGTTCACTCTTGAAATGACTCTGTCCGCCTACAGCCATTTAAGATTTAAGAACAAAAACAGATCTTGATTTTCTTTTTCATGTTAACTCAAGCTGCTGCTGAGTGGGAGAGTCAGAAATGACACCAGCTCCACTGATTACTCAGCTGCTCAAGGATGATTTTTGAAAATGTACCTTCATGGGGACCGCATGAGTTGTCCCTTAGAACATCTCGGGAGGGGTTAATGCTTCCCTCTGGATGTTGCATTGGAATCGGATGTAAATTTGTTTGTGCAAAGGCGTAAGAGATAGCAGACATTCTTTGTGGATTCGCTTTGTGCCGGGCACTGTGCTAAGTATTTTGTGTAGAAAATGAGGAATTCCAACTTTCCTGTTTGTTGGCCCAATCATTAACTTTGTTTCAGGTCAATAATCGAATTATTGGAGCACTTAGTAAGAACATCTAACTAAGTAGATGGGACGATGCTATGGATGGACCTAAACTTCTTGCTTACAGCTTTAATTTGTTGAATTTTAGAATTAAGGAAGTATGGAAGCCACTGGAGAAATTAAGAGACTTAGGTAGAATTTGCCACGTACAAATGGCAGAAAGTCATGATGGTGAAGTGTCTGTGTTTTCACTTTATTAGGGTAACACCTTTCTTTTTTAAATGGGGGCCTATGCAGACGCCTCCAAATCATTCTTTTTCAAGCTCCTAAAATTCCTTCCTGTGGCTGTGAAATAGACGTCTGGCCTATCAGTTTTCCAACTTGGTTGTCCCTCTTCCTTTACCATTTCAGCTTTAAAAAACAAAAGTGACAATTTGAACTTCCTGCCTGCTGGGCCTCACTGAAAGACTGATATTGGCCTGATAAGGGGATATTTATTTTGGTTTAGTGGCTCAGAAATCCTTCTCCCTCAACAAGCTTTCCATCACTGCCCCCATCAGCTTCTTCCCTGATAGTGTCTCCGCGTGTTTATTCTGGGGCTGCCGGCTCACCCGGGAGTGACTGATAACAGCCAGCAGTAGATAACATTCTCCGAGGGGCTCTCCAGCTGGAATCGAATCCCTCCAGCCTGTCAGCCTAGAGAATGGATTCGAAGAGCTCAGCATCTGGAGCTCCACAGAGTTCATTTCTAGACCTATCAGATATCAAGTCTGGAGTTCTTTCTTAGTTGAATCAGACAGGGATATATATTTTTTAAAGATGACGCATGATACTTTTACAGAGGCTTCAGCCTCATCCCCTGAACCTTTCCTCCTCCAGTGCCGAGGCTCTCCCGCCTCTCCCGGTGTCTGCACAGGCAGCAGTGGCTGCTGCCTTCCGCCTACTCCTCCCGCTGGGGCAGGTGTTCCTGTCCGAGAGATGGCTCTCCATAAACCTGAGTGCCAGCTAAGCAGCATCTGTTTTACTTTTGATTTCCAAGGAAGGCTGAGCAGGGAGTTTTTGGTTTTCCCTCCTCTGGCTGGTGTTTTCCTGGAAGCATCGTTTGTTCCGTATGTTTGGAGGGGTAGGGCTGGCGATGGCCCGGAGAGTCTGGAAGTGTCCTCGTTGCTGCTGTTCCTGAATAGTATGTTTACCAAGTCATAATATGCTGTCTTTTGGAATAAATGCTTTCATCTTAGCTGCCTGTTTTCTTTGGTGCTCTAAGTAATTGAACTGGCTCGAGAAGGGCCTGTTGTGGTTTGGCAGAGAGACTGGGTCATGCCTTGTGATTCCAAGGACAGCAATGCTGGGAGCCTGGTTAGACCAGCAAAGCCTTGATGAAATACTTGTGTTGTCAGCAAATCGAGGGAAAGGGGCGGCATCTACATGTCTCATCTCTCTATTAGGCACAGGCAGTATAAACAGGGTTTTATCAAATTCGCATTGAACAGGAATGAAGGCAAAACTTGATGACTGCTTATTACTTGAAATGAGTCTTAATCTTTCACATCTAGTTTGCAGGGTGTGCTGATTTCCTCAGAATGACATCTTTTAAGCTATGACACCCCCCACACCAGTATTTTTCCACCTCATTTGATGGAAGCTCTCCTCTTCTAGCTTGAACAGCACTTTTCCATCACATGGTATTTTTGCTAGTGGAAACAAAATAATCCAAACGGCCTGTTTGCTCGATCAGTGCCGCCAGTGCCCTGTTTTGCTGAGAAGGAAATGGAGCAGTTGCGAGTGAGTGGCCCCAAGCCCTCTAGAATGAGAGGGCGTTGAGAAAGCAGGTGTCTCTCACTCGTGGCCAGCTGGTGCTCAGGCTTTCTCAAGGAGAGAAGAGCTTTGGCAATTTCACTTCAGTTCTTCACACCCCTCTGAGTAATCATCCTTTCTTCTTTATTTCAGCACAAACACAGAGCCATCCAAAGCAGCAGAGCACTGAGAAGAGTGACCTTTGCCCAAAGAATGTCCCCAAGTACAGTGTGAAAGAAATCCTAAAACTGGACTCCAACCCCTCCAAAGGAAAGGACTTCTACCGTTCGAACATTTCACCCCTCACTTCAGAAAAGGACGCTGACAACTTCAGGAAAAACGGGAGCCCTGACATGCCCTTCTACCCTCGGGTCGTGTACCCGATCCGGGCCCCTCTACCGGAAGACTTGTTGAAAGCATCCCTGGCCTATGGGATGGAGAGGCCCACGTACATCACTCACTCTCCCCTCCCCTCCTCCACAACACCCAGTCCCTCGGCAAGAAGCAGCCCCGACCAAAGCCTCAAAAGCACCAGCCCTCACAGCAGCCCAGGGAACACCGTGTCACCTCTGGCTCCTGGCTCTCAAGAACATCGAGACTCTTACCCCTACTTGAATGCGCCCTATGGCACCGAAGGTCTGGGTTCTTATCCTGGATACGCGCCTCCCCACCACCTCCCACCAGCCTTCATCCCCTCCTACAATGCTCACTACCCCAAGTTCCTCTTACCCCCCTACGGCATGAATTGTAACAGCCTGAGCACCGTGGGCAGCATCAACGGCATCAACAACTTCGGCCTCTTCCCCCGGTTGTACCCCGTCTACAGTAACTTCTTCGGTGGGGGCAACCTGCCTCACCCCACGCTCAACCCGGCCACTCTCCCGAGCTCACTGCCCTCGGAAGGATCTCGCAGGTTGCTTCAGCCCGAACATCCCCGAGAGGTGCTGGTCCCAGCACCCCACAGTGCCTTCTCCCTCACCAGGGCTGCTGCCAGCATGAAGGACAAGGTGTGCAGCCCCACCAGCGGGTCTCCCACTGCGGGCACGGCTGCCACGGCAGAACACGTGGTGCAGCCCAAAGCTACCTCAGCAGTGACGGCAGCCCCCGGCAGTGACGAAGCCATGAGTCTCATAAAAAACAAGAGGAACATGACTGGCTACAAGACACTTCCCTACCCCCTGAAGAAGCAGAATGGCAAGATTAAGTATGAATGCAACGTTTGCTCCAAGACTTTTGGCCAGCTCTCAAATCTGAAGGTAAGCCTCAAAGTAGAGAGGTGTGATTGTCTGCTAGTGTCTGTCCCTGTGAGTACCCATGCACCTTCATGTTCAGCCCACTTTCCACAGGTTGTAAATTTCATTTTCAATAGTGTGAGATCCGGGCCGGGAATAGTTGATGTGGGTTTGACTTTGCTTTTGCCTCTTCTGCCTGTGTGGCTTTGGACAAGTTACTTCCCCTCTCCTGAGTTTCTTCTGAGTAATAAGAACATGGGGTTTGGGCTGGAAGATCAGTTGAAAGTCCCTGCTGGCCTGTGACTTTTGTTTCTTTAGCGCAAACAAAACAAAGTGTTCTGAAAACCTCAGGGCTTTATTTGTTCTGTTTAAAGCCTTTATCTTGATGCTTTCCTTAAGTCTCTGCATCATAAACGCCCTAGTCCTTGAGCAGAAATGTTAGGTCTTCCAGACAACTGAGAGCAGAGCTAACACATGCGGCTTCTTCCCAGGTCCACCTCAGAGTGCACAGTGGAGAACGGCCTTTCAAATGTCAGACTTGCAACAAAGGCTTTACTCAGCTCGCCCACCTGCAGAAACACTACCTGGTACACACGGGAGAAAAGCCACATGAATGCCAGGTGGGCAGTCTTTGGGGGTAGCACTTTTGACCCTTGTAGGAAAAGTCTGAGGGCCTGCCCTCCCCAGGTCCTATAGCCCAGGGATTAGCCAGCACGAGAATTCCACCGGGCCTTGGGCTGATAGCCCTGTGCCTGCTGTGAGTCGAGATGGTGACACAGCCGGCTTCAGTGGGTGGGAGATGGCAGGGGAAATAAACACCACCTCGTGGGAAGTGTGGCCACATCGCCCTGTTTGCTTAATGCCACACCATAGCTGCCACAGGGAGGCTTCCCGCCTCCCAGGTTGCTGGGCGTTGGCTTGTAAGCTTGCCCTTCCCACTGGCAACTCTTAATCTTCTGGCCTCCCTCTCTCCCTTCTCTGCCCCCTTCCCCACCCTGCAGGTTTGCCACAAGCGATTCAGCAGCACCAGCAACCTCAAGACCCACCTGCGACTCCACTCCGGGGAGAAGCCTTACCAGTGCAAGGTGTGCCCTGCCAAGTTCACCCAGTTCGTGCACCTGAAACTCCACAAGCGCCTGCACACCCGGGAGCGGCCCCACAAGTGTGCCCATTGCCACAAGAGCTACATCCATCTCTGCAGCCTCAAGGTCCACCTGAAGGGGAACTGTCCCGTGGCCCCCACCACAGGGCTGCCTCTGGAGGACCTGACCCGAATCAACGAAGAAATCGAGAAGTTTGACATCAGTGACAATGCCGACCGGCTCGAGGACATGGAGGACAACATGGATGTGATCTCTGCAGTCGAGAAAGAAATTCTGGCCGTGGTCAGGAAGGAGAAAGAAGAAACTGGCCTGAAAGTGTCTTTGCAAAGAAACCTGGGGAACGGACTCCTCTCAGGGTGCAACCTGTACGAGTCGTCCGACCCGTCCCTCATGAAGTTGCCTCTCAGCAACCCACTACCTCTGGGGCCTGTCAAGGTCAAGCAAGAAACAGTCGAACCCATGGATCCTTAAGATTTTCAGAAAGCAACAAATGTTTTGTTTTTGTTTCTTAACTTAAGACTTGGCGAGTCAGGGCGCCTGTAGCAAATTACTTGTACATAAACCCAGTTCCCCAGAGCTCTCCTGGCGTCAGGCGGCTTCCCTGTGGCTCTGGAATTAACGAAGGAACTCCAAAGTTACTGAAATCTCAGGGCATAAATGAGGCAAAGACAATATATATATACATATTATATATACTTATTTACACCCTATCTATATATTTGAACCTGTGTTGTGAATATGTTTGCATAGCCTTCCCATTGCTAAGACTATTGCCTAGCCATAATTATTTTTTCAATGATAATCCTTCATAATTTATTATACATTTTATCATTCAAAAAGCAATAATTAAATACGTTTACAATGACTGGAAACAATTCCTTATAATTTGAGTGTACATGTTATATCTCTGTCTCATGGCCATGCTTGGTAGACAGTTCTGCACATCTGCTTGAGTCCCTAAGATTCAGTGAACAAATACGTCACTTCAGTCAACCTCCTCCCTCTGTGATCATGGTTTGAAAATGAGGTTTTGGTATTGCCAAAGTTATGCAGTAGATGTGTTAATTCATAGGATCATGTTGTCTGAACAGCATTTGTATAACTTGGGGGTATGTGTGCAGAATTACCCAGTAATAACATCAAGAGAATAACTAAGAAAGGGAATCATGTATGTTTTTGTAGATAGTTCAGTTTTGTTTCTCCCAGCCACAGATTTACTAGAAAGGTCACAAGGCTTTGCCAACTGTCTCCCTTTCCAAAAAACCAGGGTCACCCCACCCCCAAAGTCATGTTACCATCCCAAGTGGCGATGTGACTTTTGCATCCCACCTTATTAACTGAAAATGTGAAGAAGACAAATGCCATGTTTAAAACCACTGCAAACCCTTCCGAAGGCACAGTGTGTGTGTGGGATCTGGAGGCTTGTGTCTGGGTCATATTTTCATTGTTGGAGTTTTATTGTTATGTCAAAATTGCACAAACGTGGTGCTCTACCAGGAAGGATTTGAGGTAGAAAGGCTCAGGCCACATTTTAAAACCAAAAACCAAAAATAAAAACGGGTATTCTCGTCTTGGGGTAAAAGCGGGTAATGAGCATTCCTATCCCCAACACATCAATTGTATTCTTTCTGTAAAGCTCAGCGTGTCCTCAGTATTTGTGTTTTTACATTTTATGGTTAATTTAATTGAAGATGAAAGGGCATTGCAAAGTCGTTCGACAACAATTACCTCATTGCGTGTGTCCAGTAGAGCAGGAGACGATGCCTTATCTCATGGTTTGCTACTCTAGACGAACGGAGCGTGCTCCAGGATGGCAGAACCGGAGCCGCCCTGTCTTCTACTCTGCTCAGCCCAAAGGTTACATGTCGGCATTCAAGGTGTAGCGAAGAAGGGTGTATATTTATAAATCTATTTATACCACTGTACCATGTGTATATATAATATATTTATAACCACTTAAATTGTGAACTAAACCATGTTAAAAAAAAAACCCTACTTTTCCTAAGGGTGAAAAAAAAGAAAGAAAACAAAACCCTTTCTGAAACTTCGTTTAACACTCGAAGACCTCACAATCATATTGGTGAGCTTGGGCACCCCTAACTCTTGTAAGAGACCCCAAAACCTTGGTGCAAAGGTGGGGATTGCATAACAACCAGGGAGAAAGACACTGTTTTTCTCACTGTTGAGGATGACCTAAGATGGCTTTCCTTTTGTTTTGCCACGTGATGATTATGAGGTTACACTGAGGTTGTGGAAATGAAAATTCATTACTGCCCCTTTACCATATAAACTTCTCACCCTCCTTTCTAAGGGTGCTCTATCACTAAGCAATCTGGTTCATACGTATTGAACATTTTGTTCATGGCAACTAATGTTAACCTGCAGATGAGAAAAACAAATTTCAGATAATCTAGGGAAACCTAAGAGCCTTATTGATCTGTTCCTATAAGTAGCAAAACTGACAATTTTTATGTATCAATGTTTGACCAACACAGTCCTTAACTGTAGGTAAACCAAAGCATCATCACACTGACAGTGCCACCAAGTACTTTCTTCTGTCCCCAGTGCCCCTGTGTTCGCTCCCCCCCCCCCCCCGGCTTTCTCATATGTAGGACTCCCAACAAGGCCTGCGCAGCGGCTTGGGGCTTCCTGCTTCTCTGCTCCGTCTGGCTTTCCTTCCCAGGCCTCTCACATGTGAAATGTTGAGCCCACAATCAACAGTGGTTTTATTTGTTTTTCCTCAAAGTTAAAACTGACCAAAGTGATGGGCTTTTTTCTTTGCTAGAATGACAGACTATCTTGTGTTTACATACGGTTTACGTTGTTATTTATGTGCAAATTGTCAAAATGTAAATTAAATATAAATGTTCATGCTTTACCAATGCTTGTCTAGTGTCTTTAGTGAGGGGCCAGTGAGCGACATCTTCACCATACTCAAAGGTGGCCCCAGAACGGATTTTGAGCACAACACAATGTGTCTCTCCTGCCCCCTCCACCCCCACAGCACGGTCCCCTCCACCAGGGAGAGCACATGGGAGTGATCTGAAGAGGTGATCTGTTCTCTCTCCCATAACTCAGCAGTGTAAGATTTTTCCTTAATTTTTCTTTAGTTGGCTATTAAAGTGTTCTCTCTGGAAAGCATCGTGAACATTAGCCAGTAAGTGGGGGTACTTGTTTACTTTTACTGGACTTTTTTTTTTACTCTGTTGATGTGCATGGCACGGTGGGGAGGTAAGGCAGGCTTGGACTGATTCCAGAAATGCCCTTTCAGCCTTGTGCCAGTGTGTGTGTGCATAGACCAGCCTATTGACGGGGGCGGGGGGGGGGGGCGGGGGGCCTGGGGAGCTGTCAAGGGACACTTTGCCCATCGGTAGCTAGCCAGCACTGAGCAGGCCGCAGAAAGTAAGGTGTTCTGTGCCTCTGCAGAGTCTTCCTGCCCTACAGCCTACCGTATGTTTTTTCTTCACAACTTAACTTGAGAGGTAGGTTTGCCACTTGTGCATGTAAATTCAGGAAAGCTGCTGTTTCACCAGAAGCTGGGCATCGTTAGTGTGAAACCCAGGCGTCATGGCAGTGTGGCCGTGCGGCCCCAAGGGTCATGTGGGAGGGGATCTACTTGTGCACGGTTGCTCTAGAAACGAACCTGTTTCCAGGCACAAACAAATGTGAGTTTACTTGATAGATGTGAATAGGAGATGCTTTTAAAAAAGTGTTAGTGCCGTCAGTGAAAAAAAATCTAAAAGCCCTCTGCAAATGGTTTTCATGCTTGCCACGTCATCCATTACTCAGTTCATGGTTCCATGCGCATGCTAACAGCATGCTCAGAAAATAATGCTCCTTCTTACATGTGGGCAGTCGGAACTGCCCAATTTTTTAATGTTTCTTCTTTATATTCACTTAAACATCTGTGCCAAGAACTTGAAATGCTGCCAACACTTAACTGTGGAGTTAAGAAAACCAGAACCTTATTGTCATAAATGTGCCAAATGGTGCTGGTTGAACTACTAAATTCTACAGAACTATTGTGGTAATAATTTTTCAAAACAAAGACCAATAAGAGCCAGAGAGTAACAGTTACTGTCATAAATCATAGTTCTTTACTTGGCAAAGTATGTCTTTTTTTCCTTGAGAGTTATAGATCTTGGGAACACTTGAGGACTTGGCTGTTTAATGAAACGTTACATGAAAAGATAATATTCGCTAGGACTACAGGTCTGCCCTGCTGGCATCCACACAGTTGGATGGAGGCTTCATGCAGCTGTTTGTGAAAGGGCAAAAACAAAAGTGAAGAAATCATCTTCTTCTGAATCCTTAAAATAAAAGCTCTGTTAAAAAATGATGCATTCAATTCTCCACTGTAATGGAATGTATAGAATGTAGGGTTCCACGGGAGTTTATGGGCACATTTCTAGATTTGGGGGGTGGGGGATGGTGATTAGGAAATCAGTTTAGAACCTGTTCATTATTTAATCGTGTGTGTGTGTGTGTGTGTGTGTGTGTGTGTGTGTGGCCTTTTTAAAATCACAGATAATAGGAAAAGGCCAGAGCAGAGAAATGAAGGCACTGTAAACCCAGGCCTGTGGGGTAGTCTAGTCTAGAAAGGAAGGCTACACCACAGCGGATGGTGGCAAAAACAATGAGTAATAGAGAAGTTACATAGAATGTGATCATTGAACCAATTCAGAAGACACTTTCCTTTAGGAGACTGTACAGTTCTTTACCCATAACAGGTCCATTATCATCTTCTGGCCAGAAGAAATCAGATTATTCTGAACGTTGGGCCACCTCTTTGGAGCCCACGTGTGGGAACATAGCAATGGGAAAAAGATGTTCCAGGACCCAGGGATAAGCCTTCCATCATCCTTTTTCAAGCTTCAAGTCCTCCAAACTCCCAATTCCATTTGCTCAAAGTACTGCTGGGGGCTGCTTGATAAATGAGACATGATTTTAATCTCAATGCAGCCTTAATCATGTAATTTAAGCCAAAAAAAACACCCCAATTTAGCAAGATTTCAAAAAGTTATTTTTAACCTGATTTATGCAACTACTCTCCATGCCCGGCTTCACTATAAACTAACAAACTCTCTCCAAGTTCACTCTTTCTTCCAGATTTCAAAGTAACGAACCAAAGTTGCCAGGCCACATTTCCTGCTCTCTGCATTTCAGACAGAAGCTTTTAGTAGCTTAAATGTGAATGTAGTCACCTTGTAGTTTTCTCCTACCCCAGCAAGAAAGCAAAGAAGTGATAGATTAAGTGCCAAAGAGTGATTTTGGTAAGAAATTCTTCAGTGCATTAACCAAAGGGGGTTGTTCTCACAGAATTGTGGCAAAACTTCCCATCTAAGTATCTGGAGGATTCACCTGTGGGTGATGGCAACTAGCCGTCCTACGTTGCTGGTGAGAAGCAGAGGAAAGGAAAGGAAATGAAACCATAGCAGAAGGGACTTTAAGTTACAAAGACTAGCACTGATCTTTAGGGCTTGTAACACAACAGGCTCCTTTCCATGCAGGGAGGGGGTAGGCTTTCCTTCCTGGGGAGCCTTAGAAAGCAGGTTGTTTGGGAGCATGTGCTGTGCAAGATATTCTGGCAAGCCCTTCTTAGGTCTATAATTCAATGATTTCTATCAATTTACAAATGATCATGCAGCTGGGGACAAGAAAGATACAAGGGTGTGGTAGAGAGGGTTCCTTCATGTTTCTGGGGCCTCCAAGAAACTATATAGCTATATTGTGTGTGTATATATGGAATATACGAGCTCTGTCCAGAAGTCATCCAGCCATCTACTATGAAAAATAGAGACATTTATTGAAGAAGATACAAGATACAAGAAACATTGTACAGAGGACAATGATGCCCCAGTCCTCTTCAAAGTAGGCACCTTGGGACCTCACACAGTTCTCCCAATCGCCATCACCTGCCCCATGGTATTTCCCTGAATTTCACTGACGGTCTGACATCTCTTCCCTTTCAAACATAATTGTAATTTTGGGAAATGCCAGAAGTCACAGGGTGCTAAATCTGGGCTGTAGGGAGACTGAATCACACAGGTGATTTGATGTTTTGCCAAAAACCTCTGCACGAGATATGATGCATGAGCGGGCCCATTGTCATGATGAAGCTCCCAATCATCAGTTGCCCATAGCTGCAGCCTTCTGAATAGTTTCTGTGGAGGAATGTTCAAGCTTTATGCAAAATTTGATGCAGATTTGTTGCTCTACTTGCTCAATTTTGAATGCAACAGCCACACAGTACACATGCTCACTCAATGGTGCCTAGTGCCCCCACTGACTAGTACAGTGCAGTCAATCATTGTTTATGCATGTGTATTCTGGTCCACTCTCTTTGGCCGCCAGGTTACTTCAATGTTGTGCAAACCATTCTTGTTATACTAACAGTGGCTGGATTTTTTCTGGACAGACTTCGTGTGTATGAAAGGAAGATCTAGAGAGCTTGTCTAATTCTGAAGGAGAGCCCATGATACCATGAAATAAACTGTGCTGTATATTTCATAACATACTTTAAAATATATTCCACAGTGAGTTCTCCCCAAGGATCTCGAGAGGAGTGGAAAATGAGGCATGGTGCTGCTCTCACCTAGCATCTGGAGCTCTGCAAAGCAGCCTCCAGGCAAGTAGCCTTTCCATGCAGCTACTCTGTGGGAAAGGAAGAGACTCTCTTTGGCTCGCCTCCTCCCATTAGCGTGGCTTCCCTTGGGTACTGCTTCTCATCCACACATGCAAAGGGAAACCCTGGGTCCCCTTCCATGAAACCCTTCTTTGCCTCCCCAGTTTCAGCATAAGTAACAGATAGTGAGTTGTTGTGAGACCAGCCAACTAAGGATCATTAATGGGGTGATTTGATGCTGTCTATGGTTCCCTGGGCCACAATCTAAAAATATACCCAACCCAAGGTGGGAACTGAGATCATGAGCTCTCACTGTGGTAGACAGAGCAGTGAACCAGGGGTTTAGACACCTAGATCTAGTCCTGGCTCAGCCCCTAGACACCTGTTCTCATTATACGAGTAATGGCTGGATTTTTTCTGGACAGACATCATGTGTATGAAGAGCTTGTTTAATTCTGAGGGAAGAGTCCATGATACCATGAAATGAACTGTGCTATATATTTCATAAAATATTTTAAAATATATTCCAGATAACTGTATGCTCTCAAGAAAGTCCTGGAACTTCCCGGGGCCTCAGTTTCCTGATCCATAAAATAAAGAAGTCATTCCCAGGTTGCCTTCCTGCTCTTTCGGAAGTATTACATCTCTCCAGAAGCTAAGATCCCATCGTTTTCTCTTATTTCCTTTGGGTTTGTTTTCCTTGGAACTCTGAGTGTTGCTATGGGCAGGTATTTGTAATTTAGAGAGCAGATGTCAGAGAAAACGGAAATGAGGAACAGGATTGTATGGAAAGAACTATTGTGGCTTCTTTTGGCAAAAGAGATTGGGTTCACAAATGTCCTGCTAATTTGAGAGAACCATGAACTTGCCCCAGGAATTAATATGCTCATCTGAAAGGAATCAAGATTCTTTAATGGAAATAATGGGTTGTGCTGAAGTCAAGCTCTGCTAGAGCTCTGCATGAATTCTAAGATATTTAGTTAAGTGGGTTCTGGTTTTTATGGGTTTTTTTCTTTAAGCAAAGGAATACTTGTAGGAAGACTAGGAAAGATTTAAGTTCGTTGCCACACACAAAAGGTGGGGGAGACAAAATTACTGGTTGCTACAGAAGAGAGTGAGAACTCAACAGAGGGAACCTAAAAAGACGTGGAAAGGAAACAAAATGGTTAGCGAAGCAATCAAGGCCTCAGTACTGTTTTAACGGTTCAAGGTTTTAAAAAAGGAATAAAGAAAAATGAAGCAGAGAGAGGGAG